TTCACATGGCCAACATATTTTTTTCAAGGCACTCTAAGAACTCTTGAGGATACTATAGGAAAAATGTTCCTCTTGCCTACTGATCTTTTAAGCATATTTCCCCTCAAACTTTTCTAAATTAAACATTGTTGTAATTCGTTTTTCTGAAATTTCATTTTCCACGGTACAGTCCTTAAGTTATTTTTCTTTTATTTGAAGCCACTCCTTCATTTTCAACTTGCTGAGCAGGCAAGCAACTGCCTTTGGTTTCCATGGAAACTGGATTCCTGTGGCTGCGTGTAGGCATTCTTGTTCCACCAACCTAACAGATGAAGCAAAGAACAGACTAGCTTAATGTAGTTACAACATACCTACATGAAGTCAACTCTGTATTATCCACACATGTACTAATCACCTTGGGAATGATCCCTTAAATAATTTTAATCTCCAGCTACTTGGCTGTTTCTAAACAAGTTTTAATCTCACATAGTTTTAAAGTACTAAATATTAAAACAGCAATCAGAGCAGGGGCTAGATCAGGGTACATGGAGAGAAGTGAATGGGGAAACCACTCTTTGTATTACACTTAGAAGAGGCTGAAATGTTAAATTAGGAAACAGGGAAGGGCAGGCCTTTTGAGCAATGTGTTTGTAATAACTAAGCTGAAGGGCAAGAAAAAGGAAGAATGAAAAACTGGAACAGAGCAAAAGGAAATACAAGGAGAAGGTCAGAGCTGGTAAAGAGGGAGGAGAAATTCTATAGAGAAAAAAGAAAGACAATAAGATAAGGAAGGTGACGAAGATAAGGAAAGAAAATGAAGAGACAAAGTAAGAAAAAAAGAAGAATCCAAGACAAAAGAGGAAAAAAGAATAAAGGTCAAAGAAAGAACGGAAGGGAAAAGAGAAGAATACAAGTAGAAAGGAAAAACTGAAGGGGTGACAGAGAAGAGCAAGAAAGAAATAAGAAAGGGAGAAGGAAAAAAATGGAAGGGGAATATAGAGGATGAGAAAAGGGGAAGAGGGAGGTTGGGGGTGTGGGGAGAACCGCTGTGGTGCTGGTTCCGCCTTCATGACTACCCTTCCTCACCCTCGCTCGGCTCACACAGTCCAGGGGAGACGTGTTCTGCTCTTAGGACACAATCCCTTGTTAATTGTAGCACTATTACAGATGAGATTTGGAAATGCTGTCACCTCCTTGGCTACTGAGAGAGCATAAAGTTTTTTAACAAGGTGACAGAGAAAGCCAGACCTTACAGAGAAGAACTAAAGCTGTGTAGCTTAAAACCATTTCCACAGAACCTGTCCCCATCTGCCTCTATTTTCCCTAGCCACCTTGTACTCTTTCTGTTTCTTCATATCCTGTCCGGTGAATTCCAGGCTTGGGAGTGATGGGTGACACTGTAAATCCAAAAACACTGTCTCATATTCCTACCCCAAGAGAAACAGTATTGGCATTGCTCTAAGAGGCTGCTAGCTCACTAAGAATGGATCAGACTCCAGTTTCCCTGACCTAATATTTACCGTTTCCTTAAAACAGCACTTTTTGGTTTATAATTACATGACTAAAAAGGACAAAGCTGAGTAGGGATCTGAGTCTGCCAGTCTGTCTTCATGAATCTGGTGAACTTTTATAACATACTGATTAGAAAAGTACTGTGATTTTTAGATTATCTATATACCACTCCCACTCAGCTGGCATTTCCTATAAAGGTGTACTGAGCACACTAATTGTATCTAGTATTCTTTGAGAAAAACAAGCATTTTGAAAACTTCTCTTGCAAGATTGTGTGTGTGAGTGAGTGCACATGCAAAATGAATACTTATTATACAAGTTGCAGAAGGAGAAAAGGGATAAGTATAGAACTGCTGCTAAAGGACTGGAAGGGGAAGTCAACAGTAGCACAGGAAGCTAATGGGACCCTTCAATATGATATCTGCTTGATGCAGCAGGGAGGCAGACACAGATATCTCTCAGGCTTAGTGCCAAAGGCCGTATACCAGAATGAGATTTGAGTTCAAATGGACTAGAAACTACCACTATGAGATCAAATTGGAGGTAAAAACATTTGTGTTACGAGATTTCACACCATAAAAATATGCAGATAATTTCTGTTTCATACAGGACTTACTTCCTTGGTTTCTCTGATCTTACCCATTGCTGCTAACACTAGATCCCTATCTGTGCCTGGCTTGAGACTGGAAAGTCCCATTCCTATGGCCTGGCTAGGTGGAAGGGAGGAAGATAGGGTAATTACTATCAAATATAGGCCTAGATTATGGGGAGGTGAGCAGATCATCACTGAAAACTTTCTATCGGCTTTCCAAATTATATCAAATCAAATATATTAGTTATCTAATTGTCTAGTGAAAGCTGGGCTGTCCAAGAACCTGGTCCTGGACAAACTCGCTAAATGTTTGTTCCATACTAATGCATGAAGCATTTTAAAAAATACAAATTGGCCAGGCATGGTGGCTGACATCTGTAATCCTGGCACTTTGGGAGGCCAAGGTAGGAGGATCCCTTGAAGCCAGGAGTTTGACACCAATCTGGGCAAAAAGAGAGACTGACTCTACTAAAAATATAAAAAGTAGTCAGGCGTGGTGGCCAATGCCTATTAGTCCTAGCTACTCTACAGGCTGAGGCAGAAGGATTGTTTGAGCTGGGGAGTTAGAGGTTCGTACCATTGCACTCCAGCCTGGGTGACAGAATGACACCTTGTCTCTCAAAAAAAAAAAAATTACATATATATAAAATACGTGTGTGTGTATATATAAGATATATATAGATATATATATAAATCAGTATGTGCTGAGTGATATACCTATAATTGAATTGTTAAACTTTATATTTATATGGCCAAACCCTGAATATATAGAATCTCTCCTTTTCAAATACAGTTATGCACTAATGATGTTTTGGTAAAAAATGCAATGCATGTATGAAGGTGGTCCCATCAGACTATAATGGAGCTGAAAAATTCTAATCACCTAGTGACGTCCTGGTGTGATGTATCACCTTATCTATGTTTAGATATGCAAATCAGCGGCCTACAGTATTCAGTACGGTTACATGCTACACAGGTCTGTAGCCTAGGAGAGCAAAAGGTTCCTTCCTATGTGTGTACTAGGCTATACCATCTAGGTTTGTGTAAGTATATTCCCCATCATTAAGTAAAACATGATTGTAAGTTGTTTTCTTACTGTACTAAAGCACATTTTGGACCATGTAATTAAAAATATCAAATCACTGAAGTATTTCCAAAGCATAAAGCACTCAATATTATTTTAGTGTCACTCTATATGAATATGGAAGGTATAAGAATATTACTCATTTCTTTTTTTTTAGAGTTACCTTGTACAAACATAATACATTTTTCCTTTCACCTAAAGTTGTTCAGTGCCAAGGTATTAAACTCTTCATTTCCACTAAAAAGGAATAAGGGACTCCCACACAGAATTGTATGTTATAGGTAAGAGACTATAATCAGTAGTTTCTAAATTGAGATCATTCTCCTAGAAAAAACATAGATACTTCAAAAATAGTTCCATTATTTTTAAGTTACTGAAAAAATTTTTTCCTTGAGGTTATAGAAATCAATACTTAAACTAGAAATATCCAACCAAAATTGTAGATAAAAGAGCTTTAAATATTAACAACTTTCTCTACTCTTTCCCTTGTGCCAACTAGTTAACCACATTTATACTTTCTTGGCCAAAGCTAAAATGTGTCAAGAGTTCTCATTTCTAAAGGGATACTCCTAAATAGTAACATTAGGGTGGAGAACTGAAAAACATAAACAACCCTGTTCATTATAAATTATTGAAAAATCCTCAGCATTTGCATTCCAGCTATTTCTCAAAAGGACTTGAGGACAGTTACAGATTAATTCAGTATAAACATAGAAGGGAAAAAAGAACAGAAAACCCAAAGGATACACAAGTGAAATATGCTCTGGGGCAAAAATACTGGGATTATAGAACTCAGACAATAATTTTGATTCAAAAATTTTTGGCAGCAAGTAAGGAAAATACACTAAATTTTTGTTTCCTAGACATTCAGATTCATTTATAGAGAGCAAAACTTTTCCTACAATTAAACTCAAATTGGAATTTCTTACATGAGATAAAGAATGAGTGACATGGTCCAGACTATATATAGCCATGCTTTATAAGTTTCAGATAGAGAAATGTCATTCAACTGGTATTTCTGGGAAGGGTTAATACTGAGTTACACAATACCTAGCAAAATGCAATTTAGTCCTTAAATTGTTTGGTTGTATTTTTAATACCACACTCTGTTCACTGATCACTAAAACTTGCCTTATTTTTATATATACTACTTATCAATTTTTAATTATATTAGTATCATGCTTTTATTATATGCATTCTTCTACAAATTGCCTCAAATAGTTAATGCAATTAAACAGTATACATAAATAAAAAATTTTTAAAAATACAACTTTGCTTTTCATGGGAATATGGGGATTTAACTATGTGGATGCCTTACCCATGCATCTATGGGGCAAGCTAAAAGAATTTTCTTTAGTTGACTTATAAACTCTACAAAAGTAAAAAGTTCCACTGACATAAAGAGCGAACTCAGCAGAGCATACACCTTTCCTATGGATATAGTTTTTAGAATGATACTGTGATTAATATGGCAAATGTGGACATTAGGTTGAAATATGGTATAGTCAGTTAAATAGATAAATAAGAAACAACATAATGAACACTCGATTTCAAAAAGGATCTTACCTTTTGTTGTGTTGTAGGATCCAGTGATTTGGGTGGAAAAGTACAAGGTATTCTTCCATGATGGATATGATACGGTAATAAGAGATTTGGATCTAATGGGACCCAGGGAACTGACAGACTAGAAGGTACACCAGGAAGGCCACAATGTGTTTTATGCAAATTATATGCTGTTCTAGTAACTTTTCCATCAGAGGTCTTATAGATCAGGAGTGAAGAATCTTCTGCTGCATGAGACAACAAGTAGGAACCCTCCTGCAAGCTAAATGCACACAATGAAACTCATTGGCTCATTGCATCAATTCAACAGCATTTTCTTAATCATTATCTATTAGTAAAACCAAGAACAATTATGGGAATAGAATACCACCTCTAAAATTATTTTTATGACCAAATAATATTTTAAAAGTCTTTTAAACTATTTTCCTGCCTTTTACACAGTTGTTTTAATTTGTATCCCGAAGTTCAGAATATCTGGTCATTTTCGTTTTACTTTTATATGTCAATTTGTAAGATTTCATGTAATGAGAAACAAGTATTATGCCTAATGAGAAACAAGTATTATGCCTAATTCCCTAATCCATGGACAACAGACGTTTATACTGAAAAGTCTTCCTACAGCATTTTCATTCATTCAACATTGTGCCTACTTTGAACCTAATGATAGGTGAATGGAGATCACTACATTGAGTAGTTTAAAATAAAGTGGAAAGAACAGTCAACTGAACAATCATAATATGATATGAGTTGCTATGAGGATAACAGAAACAATAGCAGCTAACAGGTATTGAATATCATGAGCTAACTATTGTAGTGCTATTTCATATCCATTTTCTCATTAAATCCTCATAACAAACCTTCAAGCCATAATATTAAGGAGACAAATTTGGGCTAAGCGACTTGCCCAAAGTTCAGAGTGTAGGACTTAGATATAAACCCAGGCAGTTGAACTGCACAGGCCACATCCTTAATCACAATCCTCTACTGTCAAAATAATCAGCCATGTCAAACATCAAATCCACATTTTTCTTTCCTTTATAGAAAGCTTTCAGGGATTCAATGTACCATTACAAAGAGCTAAAAGGTTATGATTAATACACCATGATTTCTTGGGATTACATACTCTTGTGGAGCAAATGCGCTAAGGAGAACATAAGTTCTTTCCCACAATATATTATTAAAACTAAAGATTAATCATACTTTAGCTATATAGATCTCTCTACAAACCTAGTAAGTTACATTTGCATTAACTTTTTTTAATGGAAAAGTAATAGGTGTTGACAAAGGAGGTCCAGAGGATTATTCTATCCTCTGGGAAATTTTTTTCCCCAATCACTTTCTTATTTCCACATAAAGAAATAAATAATAATTGATTTGGTGGTAGGAATAAATAACATTTCAAAGGCTGAAAATCATGTATGAAGAAAGCTTTGGTTTACAGAGGAATTATATCTAGTTCATGGAGAATGAGAGACACTCCAAGGAGGAGTTATCTTAAAAGTGCCATACAAGTGCAATGTACATAGACAGATATAAATTGTGACAGGCAGATAAGAGTCTCCTAAAAATGTTTATATTCCAAACCCTGGAGCCCGTGACTATGTTACATTGCATGGCCAGGGGGAATTAAGGTAGCAGATTGAATTAAGGTTGCTAATCAGCTGACTTTAAAATGGTCAGATTTTCCTGGATTACCCAATGTTAATCATAAGAGCCCTTCAATGTGAAAGAGGGAAGCAGAGGAGACTCAGAGAGAGATGTATTAATAACAGTAGAAGAGGTCAGAGTGATGCCATTTGAGGAAGACTCAACTTGCCTTTGTAACTTTGAAGACAGAGGGAGAGAGCTACAAGCCAAGGAATGTGGGTGGCCTCTAGAAGCTACAAAAGGCAAGGAAACAGATCCTTCCCAAGCCTAGAGAAAGGAATGCAGCCCTGGTGATGGCTTGATTTTAACCCAGTGAGTCCTGTTAGACCTCTGACTTACAGAACTGCAAGAAAATAAATTTATGTTATTTTACAACACAAATTTTGTAGTAATTTGTTATAGCTGCAATAGAAAACTGATATAGAAACTAAATACTGATAATAAAATTTCAAAAAGCATCTGGCAAATTTCATGTATAAGCATTATGTTTCACATGAAGAACAGAATATATAAAATAAAAATCCTGTCATAGAATCATTGAAAAGTACTTGGGACATTATTGCACTTGACATTATTATTTTACAAATAAGGATACTGACATCTAGTTGCATAATAAATGGAGTTAGAACCAGAACTCTGAGATTTTGACTCAGTTCAGACTCTTAAATTATTTTCAAATTTATCTTTTAGTAAAAGAGAAGAAATGTAACAGAAGAAATGTAAAAGTTCACATAACAAAAGAGTTTAAAAAATGATCAGGTGGAGAATCCATCTTCCAAGATCTGTCATAGAACCAATGATTTTGATCACTAGCTCTTATATTTCTTTATCCTGAAAATTAAAACAATATAGCTATGGTAGGCTGAATGATGGTCCCCATAACATCCACATCCTAATCTCCAGAACCTCAGAATATGTTACATCTAATGATTCCACAGATGTGATTAAATTAAGGATTTTAAAATGAGGGGATTATCCTGGATTATGTGGGTAGGCCCAATGTAATCACAAGGGTCCTCATAAAAGGGAAGCAGAAGACACTACAAAAGAGAAGGCAATGTGATGTGGATGCAAAGATCTAGTGATATGTTTTGAAGATGGAGGACAGGGCCACAAGTTAAGGAATATAAGTGTTCTAGAAACTGAAAAAGGCAAGGAAATGATTCTCTCCTCAGAGTCTCACCAGCCCTGCTGACCCCTTGACTTTAGCCCAGTGAGATTTTTGGATTTCTGACCTTCAGAACGATAAAGAGAATACATTTTGTAGTTTTAAGCCACTAAGTTAAGAAGAAATTTGCTATCGTGGCATTAGGAAACTAATATAATAGTCTTATAGGAAAATCTAATTGTAAGCTCATTAAAGTCAGATACTATCATATTATTTTTTAAATTTATATTTTTACAATTTCAACTTTGACACAATAATTTTTGCACCTTTAGGTTAGCTGCATCTAAGAAAATCAGACATACCAATGTAAATGTCCAAAATATACTTACCTACATAGTTTCTTTAGAATGTGTTGGAGGATGTTAAATAAACTTGAAATCCTATTAAACAGAAGAAATGCATATCAAATTAAAGCACAAAAACTTATGTTTAACAATCATAGCTCCTCAGGAAGACAAATGCCCTCAATAACAAAAGAAAACAGCAGATGATATAATGTGAAACAATACTGAAACTCATTTCTATGTGGATTAAATTATAATATTTACTTAATTCTTGCCATTTCCTGATTTCCCTTCATTAGCATACAGTATTTGGCTTTGTGTGAGTCAGAGCAGTTGTAAAGAGATCACTATTGTATATTCAAATCATACTTTAAAACATGTTCAGAAGTCTTTAGTAGTACTGATCTGCAGAAGAGTTTGCCTTTTAGAGATGGTGATAAGTTAGATTCCAAAGAAATTGACCACTAGTTTACATACATGATGACAGAGAAGTCACTGATTGGGGAAAGGATAGCAAAAGGGAAGTGAAATATAAGATATTATTCTAAAAATTTCTTTAGTACCTGTTCTAGGCCTAAACTAATTCCTTATTTATTTTTTATATTTTTTTGAGACAGAGTCTCACTCTGTTGCCCTGGCTAGAGTGCCCTGGCATCAGCCTAGCTCACAACAACCTCAAACTTCTGAGCTCAAGCGATCCTTCTACCTAAGCCTCCCAAGTAGCTGGGACTACAGGCATGCACCACCATGCCTGGCTAATTTTTTCCATATATTTTTAGTTGGCCAATTAATTTCTTTCTATCTTTTTTAGTAGAGACGAGGTCTCGCTCTTGCTCAGGCTGGTCTCAAATTCCTGACCTTGAGTGATCCTCCCGCCTTGGCCTCCCAGAGTGCTAGGATAATAGATGTGAGCTACTGCCCGGCCCTTATTTATTTTTTTAAAAAATAAATTTTTTATTTTTACTGGGAGTTTTACTGGGAGAGGTGAGACAGGTTTGGTAAATAGGATATGAAAATACTTTTCTATTCACATAAGAAAAGTTACTGCTCAAGAGAAGCAATGCTTATAATAGAAGTGCATTTATTTAAGTATAAGCAGAGAGTTCAAATTTGAACCTGGGACTCTTAAAAACCTGTGTCAAGACTGAAAGCTAGAACTGTGCAGCTAGTACAAGTGAGGACCACTTCTCATCCTAAGTGGTCAAACATTAACTATCAAAACTGTCACTAGCTCAGCCATGTGCTCTGCAGCACAGCACTCTAAGTCCCAGTTTCCTCATGTATAAAATGGAGAAGATACTACTGTCGGCCTTTCCCTGGAAGGTGTGAGATGCAAATGAGATACTATTCCTAAGTTATTTTCCTTTGCATTTAGGCACTTCTGTTCTGAGTATAATAAATTCACTTCAGTCTGTTGTATAATATAATGCTTGGTAGTAGGGCAAACTTTCAGAAATCAGAATGTCCAATCAGTGTGAACAATCTTGAGAACTAAGAGTCTGGGACTGTTCTATCCTTTCCCGATAAAGGGGTAAAATGCTTGCTTCCCATGTACTTCAAGATAGTGGGTACTCTCTGGCTCTAGCCTCCTTTGTCCTAACTAGAAAGGTTGGCACTACTGGCATTATGCTTAATTTGGAGATGGAGACAATTAATATGGATGGATCACAAATTGGGTCCAGGCTTTATCAAGGGATGAACAAATAAAGAAAATGTGGTATGTATGTATGTGTGTGTGTATGTGTGAGTGTATACACACACACATACATATACACCCAGCTCACATACACAATGGAATATTATTCAGTCATAAAAAAGAATGAAATCTGGTTATTTGTAGCATCAAGGATGGAACTGGATGTCATTATGTTAAGTGAACTAAGCCAGGCACAACAACAGAAAGACAAATATTACATGTTCTCACATGTGGGAGCTAAAAAAAGAGGATTTCTTAGAGATAGAGAGTAGAAGAGTGGTTACCAGAGGCTAGGAAAGAAAGGGGAAGTAAAGAGAAGTTGGTTAAGGGGCACAAAAAAATACAATTAGATAGAAAGAATAAGTTCTAGAATTTGCTAGTACAGTAGGGAAATTATAGTTAGCAATAATTGATTGTGTATTTCAAAATAGCTAGAAGAGAAGAACTGTAATGTTCTCAACACAAAGATTAATGTTTGAGGTAGTGGATATCCCAATCACCCTGATTTGATAATTACACATTGTATACAGGTATAAAATATCACATGTACTCCCAAAATATGTACAACTATTACATAATCAATAAAAAGACAAACACACAAACAAAAACAAAAAAACAAATTGGGTCTGGGAAGGCCTCAATGTATAAAAGGATTAAAAGTCTTAGAAATAAATTAACCAGTAGTTAGAGATAAAGGAGAATAAGTGACCACTTTAACAAGTCTTTCAATTCCTACCACAAAGTAAACTTTCTTACTTGAGTGCTGAAAGCTTTTCTTTTAATTCTTCTGAGGTAATTTCTTCTAGCAGGAAAAGCTTTGAAGTAAATGCATCAATATGCCCTAAAATAAAATATTAAACTTAAAAAGAACAAGCAACTGCAGTATTTAGAAAATAAAAATACCAACAAGTTAGCCAGTCTCCTTAAAGATGTTTTTACAAAATGTTAATAAGTGTAAAGGAATTTTACATGCTAAAAGATAGAGAAATATATATTTTATTAAGTCTATTAAGTAAAGCTATATTTTAAAATGACATAAAAATTCAGATTATGAAAGAAATACATATTCATTCTAAAATATTTGCTGAATGTAGAAAAGTTTACAAATGTCCATATACACAAAATCATTTCAAAGCCTACAATTTTTGAATACAATTGTTAAAATATGGGTGTTTCTAATTCCTATGAAAGTTATATTTTTATGGAGTTTTTTTTAGAGATACATGTACCAAATTCAAAGCAAGCAGATGAAGTCAAATTTAAAGTCTGGGCCTGTTCAATACATCTCTAAGACACACTTGGTTCTTAAGATAAAAATTAGATTATAAAAATCTGGCTTATTATTTTTTAATTAAAGTACACCATAAGATTTCCCATGGTTAAAAAAAAAAAAAATCAAAGCAGTCTGCTCAGAGTCTTACTTTCTTACAAACATGACATGAATCTAGAATTCCAAAAAACAAAACTGCAAATTCTCAAGATGACACCATTTTATTCATAAAAAAGTAATATGTACTTTCTAAAACAAAATAGGTTGAGACAACACCAAGGCCCTGAAATGTACCAAGGAAGAGTGATATAAAAGACAGCCCTGGGTTAAATGTCAAGTCAACACAAAAACCATGTTATAGTACCATAGTCAGAAACATCAATTAGCATGATGAGAGACAACGCTGAAAATAATTCCATATTTGTTTTTTTAACTCTCAATATCAGTTATCAAAACAAATTACCTGGAAAGTTGATGTCAATCACTGGGACTACAAAAATGCACATAATTTAATATCTCACTTTCATATCTAGCCCCCTTTCATATCATTTGCTTTATGCTCAGAGAATTAACATTTTTACCAAATGCCTTCCTTCTATTTGTTCCCATACCTTCGTTATCTCTTATGTGGAGTTTTAGTTTCACCTCTGCAACTCATTATATATAACAATCATTATACAGTGACATTTCTAATAACAGATTAATAGTTTAATAACCACAGGAAGAGAATATTAAGCACAAAATATTTTTAGAAATTTACTAAATATGCCTTTGAAGAGACTCACTAATAGTTCTTACTTTTTTTAAGGAAATAAAAAAGTATATATCATATGTCAAATATGGTCTGTCAAAAATAACTACACAGAGAATACCACACTATGTGCGATGAGTTTCTATATCCTCAAGGAGTTTACAACTCTTTCATCATTGGAGCTTTCTAACCTGTGGGCCTCAAATGAGTTATATGTGTGCTTAAGAGATTCATTTCTAGAAAAACAAACATCCCATGTACTTCCTATTAAATTGGAACTAACCAATGAGCAGCACATACATGCAGAGAGGAAAGTAAAACTCAGTGGAATTCAAGCAGGGGAAGTAGGGAGGAGAGGATGGGAGAAACCTACCTACCAGGTACAATGAACACTACTTGGGCAATGGGCACACTTATAGCCATGACTAAAGCATTATAGAAGCAATCCATGTGACCAAAAACATTTGTACCCCCTTAATATTTTGAAATAAAAAATTAATTATTTTAAAAAGAGTGAGATTAATCTCTTCCACCCTTGGGACAGCTAAGCAATGCCTGGGATGGCAAAAACTTCCTGGCCATTGTCCTTCAGCCATGAGCAATCTCTTTTGTGTATCACAGTGTGCTGTACAAATGTTTTTATGTGTGTCAAGGTTGGAAAGCACTGGTTTATACAGTATAAACAAAACCTTTATATAACACAAATACAACCTTAATATACATGCATTCATTTATACATACATGTATAAATACATATACATGCATACATACATTCATATGCGTACAGGAAGTTCTTGCTTTGCATGCAGTGTGGGACCATAAAACTAATCATACAGGCTGAAACACTGCAAACAATTTTAATACTCAATGGGAAAAATTACAATTGTTTCACTACCTTTAAATTTTTTGTCAAAACATTATAAATTCTCCATCAATTATAAATGTATAGATATGGAAATGAAAAAAACAGTAAAATTTTATTTAGTACACTGCAATTCAAAACATTAAAAACACTGAGAATTAAAGTGTTTTATTTCTAGACGGGTTTGAACAGTGCTTGTTGCCTTTTTATACAACTTATGATAGGAAGTAAACATCTTTTCTATGCTGTGAACTGTCATACTCCTAAGTTAGAATCAGCTTCCAACATTGCATGTTTTGTACTTTCAATGTCATGAAATATCTTCAGGAGTTCTTTCAATGTAAAACCTTATGCCAGTGTCCCTTCTTCATCCTTTATGTCACAACCACTTTCCTCATTTATGTCATGAAGTTCTCCTTCACTAAGTTTGTCTGGCAGCAAATCTAGAGTTTCTTGAACAGCAGCAGTGTCAACATTCCCTCTGCTATTTCTTCTATAATTCCATTTATGTTCGATTCAAATTTCACTTGAAGTCATACCACTTTTTGTTTCTTTGCTTTAATATTTGTTGGCCAATTGGCTCTTGCAATTATCTGCTTTGGTAAAATGTCACATGGGTTTATCACTGGGAGACATGGGGGCAATACAACTGAACGCTTTGCTTTCTGTGCATGAACTCGGTAACAGGAGCATGGTGACCAATCACAAAACAGATTTTGAAAGAAGTGACATGAGTGGTCACTGACTGTGTTGTGCCTTTGTTTTTTACGTGGTGATTTGTGAAATGAAGAGTCACCAATGAAATTTGGACTTTATGTAATTACTCAACTTTAAACTTTATTTAAAGTTAATATTAATATCATAACCAAAATCTGTGCTTATCAGAACTGTGCAAAGTGAGGACTCTCTGTATGTCAACTATATATAATAGAATTGATATATATTATAGGATTTGGAGGCTGGATACAGAAGTTGTGATGACACTATTTAGGACATTTTCTTAAAGGAATAAATCTTAATATTTTTATGGAGCAAGAAAAAAACAAGAGTACTGCAATCTAGGGAAGAGGGGGGCATGTTTATAGGAAAGCAAAGCAAACAAAAAAGAAAACAAGTGTGTTCATTCTACCTGAAAAGGAGACCATGAGCTATAGATGTGGTTCTCAAAGTGTGGTCCTATGGACTAGCACTATCTGTTTTTCTTTCGTTCTTTTAAGAGTTACATTGTCTTCCTTTTGTTTTGTTTACTTCAAAAAAAAAAAAAAAAAAGAAAAGAAAAAATAAGAAATACAAAGTCTTAGGTCCTAATTCAGACCTACTAAACTAGACACTCTAGGCTTAGGCCAGCAAGCTCCACTTTAACAAGTCCTTCAAGTGATTTTCTTGAATAATTTAATTAAAAAGGTACACTCCAAAACTCATAAATGCTTTTAAAACAGCATTTTAAAATGTATTACCTCCCTCACATACCCATACTAAAAACAAAACCAAACACAAAAATCACAACCATACAATAATACATGGTTTTCACCAAACTGTTGTCACGGAAACCAAACACACCATCCCAGTACATTAAAATGAATGGCTCATAAGTTGATAAGATTCACGGAGAATAACTAGCACATAGGGCAATAATTACTTAGGACTTTTAAGAATACTTTAGATAAAGTAATCCATACAGTTGATGGCAGTTTTATCTGTTAAACTATACATTTAAAAAACTCAAACCTTACATGTTTTTGTCATGAATCTCCATTCTCTGTCAGTCATTTAAAAAAGAATTTCACTGATACGTTTTCTTTTGGCCCTTTCCTAAAATGTGTGTGGTTGGCAATTGCCTTCAAGCAGCTTGCATTAAGATTGTTGGTGTGAGATCTCTGGAGGAACAGTGACATTCTGGTTAGAGACCAAAAACTACTTACTACAACAAACTTCCAGCATGTGTATAAAGGGTGAAGAAGGAGGTAGTCCACCACCAAGTAGTACAGTTAGCTACTTTCTTTTTTGGGTTAAGCAGAGAAAATGAATTAATTATCTTACTAATACTGTCATAAAATATTAAAACAGATATTGATTAACCAAAATAGGAAAAAAGCGTTAAGTGAATAACTTTTTGATTAAGCAAGAAAAACAGACTCACAGCATTTATTACATACAAGGAATTATGCTAATAATTCAAGGAATTATGGGAATACAAAGTTTTATCAGACTCTGGCCTTAAGCTATTTATTGTCAAACAGGAAGAAGGGTTAGGTGTATGAAAGAATAATAAAGTAGAAAGTAACAAGTCATAAGAGAAGTAAAAGACAATGCATTGAGAGATGATGAGAAGGAAACGACTGAGTAAAGGGGCAGTTTGAGATGGTTAGGCGAGATTGAGAGGTATAAAATGAATTGAAATGTTCGAGATTAAGCATTCCAGTGGGAGAAAATAATACCAATAATGATTAGCAAGTAATCTATCATGTGAGATATGTTAACTGTACATGAACCCAGTCAATGCAAATTAAACCCCTTCTTAATTCCTGTCCCCCCAAAACAAAACAAAAAGTATAAAATCATTTTATCAAGATAGTATTTAAGATTCAAAAAACAATGTCATTATAATTTTAAGAAAATTTCAAAATATATGTATAAGTCAATTAAATAGTAAACCAATTAAATAGTGCTTTTAAAAGAAGCTTGCTAGAAAACATGTATCTTTAGTTATACTGTAAAATAAGTATTTTAAAAATAAAATTAGTATGTTGACATCCTTGCACATCTAAACAGATTTGGAATAAGAGGTAAATCGAAACATTTGCTTTAACTAACTCCATCCCACCATTTAATTCTGGTACAGGAATGGGAATTTAATAGAAAAGAATGTTAACATAATCAGAAAATTGAAAACAAAAAAGTACAGAGTGGAAGTATTTACAACTGAATTTAAAAGTATGTATTTACAAGGAAATTAAAAAGAGAACAAAGTCTCTTGTATAACTTACCAACGTAAAATGAACAGTTGGAATGCAATAAACTTTCAGTCCATAAGCGACAAAGTTCACTTTCAGTCAGAGCTTCAACTCCATAACAAGCTTGATACTCTACTTTTGGTAGTACATAAACTGGAAATTGCTGCAATGCAAGATTATACTTTTTCAAAACTCCATTGATTTACTATTAATAGCAAATATATTTGCCTATATAGCTTTGCCACTTTCAAAATGCTTTCAGGTTATCTTACCCCATCCTTTTAATTAGGGTGGGACTCAGATGGATACATTTGAGCCTAATAATAGAAGAACATTCCAAAGATGCAGGTGAGAGGTGGATGGAAAAAAGAAATCTCTCCTTGGCACTCCTGTCCCTAACTAGAATCAACATACCTCCTCACATATACAACATTTTATTTCTGTGAGGGAATGTGACTGACAGCAGAATCCTTAGAACAAAGCCTATTGTACATAACTGCCCCAAAGGTTCAAAGCTAGATCCTGGGAAGCAATGACTGTAATATATACTAAAAATTCTCAAGAGAATAAAAAAGGTAAGAATTTTTTGCTCCTTTAAAGTATTAGTCATACTGTCTCAGGCTCAAATACTCTGAACAGTTTGTTTTCATTTTATAAATGTATGAACATTGATTCCTACATTAATACCTGTGGATGCCATTATCGTCATTAACATAAAGGTTTTATTTTAGACACAAAGTGACAAATTATGTATTCAGAGTTCACTGCTCAGGGTACTACATAAATTAAGTAATATGACTGTCCCCATTATTGGTCTAAGAGGATATGCAAACAAATACGTTTGTGAAATAATGCAATATTAGTCATGTTCACTGTGCTCATGCCATCTCATCTGTCAAAGAAAATTCTGCTCTTAAAAAGTCTATTTCCAGCTACAGAAGGAGAGACACATGATTTAAGGTACTTACTCAAAGTGATATGACTAGTTAGTACTTTTGAAATTATACTAAGGTGTCGCTATTTATAGATTTGAAAGTATTTCATTAACATTTCTGAGTTACTGATTTTCACAAAGTGGCAAACTTAGTGGCCTTGGTACAATGGTGGTGGTAAGAACAAGTCACATCCAGTAAAATTTCTGTTATCAGCTGTGAGTGCAATGCATATGATTGCCTTTGAATTTTGTAAAACTTTAAAGAAGTGCTTCCTAAATTTCAATGTGCATATGAATAACCTGGTGATCTTGTTAAAATGTAGAATCAGGGGTGGAATTCAAGGTTTTGCACTGTCAACAAGTTGTTCCAGGAACCATACTTTGAGTAGAAAGGTCCCTAACTTGTCTTCCCAATAAAAAAAATAAATAATTTAATTAATCACAATTTAGTGATTAGGATAATTTTATTGTTAAAAGCATTTTAATGCATAATAATTCTTCTGCAAATGTTAATCCGCATATGATTTAGTCTCTTATTATCTTAGATCAAATAGGAGCTGAATAAATGAAGGCTCAGCAGGTTAAGAAATTTGCTCAAGGACACATGGCTGGTTTGTGGCAGAGCTGGGGGAAAACAGATAAAAAACAATCCCTTTTCTGGATCAGAAATGGGCAATACAGTTAATTCTATTTTTTTTAAATTAAAAAAATATACATTATTTCTGAATAGGAAATACTTGAGGGGATTTTCTTTGATAATACTACCATATCTATAAAAGTAAGTTCTAAATCTGGTTTTAATTTCTATATGTGTTCTACTGCCATCTCCAGGAAGCCAGGGGAAAGAAAGGCCTGAATATTTTATCTTTCCTTAGTATTTCAAAATTGAAATGAAAGTTTATACAAAGTTTTCATAGTATAAAAATGAAATTTACTATTTTCTTTTCCCTTTGACAAGTGGTTCCTATATTCCCCAGTGAAAGGTTTCTTGGTTCTATCTTCCAATTTTTCACATAAACCTTTTAAACTTTTATATACATTCCTAAATAAATATTTTATAGCTAGTTTCTCTCATCAAACTCTTTAGGTATCTTCTATTCCTCCTAACATTTGCCACCTTCAGGATCCTTTTTTATGGCCCGAGAATGTCAATATAAATCTTAAAATAACTGGATCTAAATTTTTGTACATTTTATTAAATAGCATACAGCACTTAGGATATTTGGTTAACTGAAACAGATGATAACATAATATCAGAACATCCAAATTTAGTTGGTCTGGATTTCATAATTTGTGCAGAACTCAGTAAATTCTAGCTTTATCTTGTGGTTCAAATTTGTCTCTTCACTTCATCCCACATTTGAAACTCCTTTGCAGTGCAGCTCTTATTAAGCAGAGTTTTTAAAAGGAAATGTCAATGATACTGGAAACTAAAATCTCAACTATGATAAACACAGAATTGAAGAACCAAAGAAAAACAAAGGAGAGAGGAGGTTGTTGAACATCAGAGGTTGAAGAGATTTCTTAGTACTTCTTAGTATTTTAGTATTTCTTAGCTTAGAGATTTCTTAGTTTTATCTAAACAAGCTTGTTTTTAGGTAGGAAATATTAATGAGGATATATTCTTAATTAGTTTAAATAGTACCACTTTAAAAATTTTCAAACTAGTTCCTCAATCTCCCTAAAGTTCCCTCCTAAACAATACCCCCTTACCTCTCCATTTTTCTCATTTATTCAGTACCTATTTATTGAATTTCTATGCTATAAAACATTTAGGTGAAATAGAGAGGAACAGAACATGATTCTAAGGGGCACACAATCTATTAAGGGGTTTAGGCCATGTATACCACTCAACTATTACATATAGGTGCAATATGATAAATGCTCACAAAAAACTTTCAAATTTTACTCCAAGTTTGACACATGCAAAAATGTAAGGTTTCTATGTGGATATTCTTTGGAGCTAAACTGTTTTGACGAAGAATGAATTCTCTCCTATAAGGTTATATCTTAACATTGACAAATTTCACTTTAGTCAAATGAATGGCAATGTCCTTACCAAGTTGTCCTGTTTAAGAATTAAATCAGTATCCAAAATTTCCCTAGGCTATTCTTACTTAAGAGACACCAGCCATTAACAATTCTAAGCGCTACAAGCTGAAAGAAATACAAAGTGGTTTGAGTTCACAGCCTAGGAAGTGAAAGAAATGAGGTTAGCCCCAAAATAAATCAGAGACAGAGAAAGTAAGAATTAAAGAAATAAAACCTTGAAAATACCATCTATAGCACTGATACTATAGATGCTTAAGTTTATGGCTTTTAAATTTATCACAGTTAAATATAGATGAAGCAGGAAAGAAATTAGCAAATAAAGTAACCTCTTAATTCAGAGAATATTAATATTTATCTAAAGGAGACTAACATCAAATTTATTTTGTCATTGCTTGATTTTCTCTTGTAAAAAGCATCACCCTTACATTTAATTTGAAACTACTTGGTTTCTAAAATTTCAAGCATGAACCCATAATGAAAACTAAATTATGAGAATTAGAAATTTAATAATTTAGGAATTTAATAATTTATTCACAACCTTCCTTCTACTTAATAAAGAATAAAAATATTATCAAGCAAGAGTTCCACTAAGTTCATTGGATTCTGATAGACAAAGCATACATCCTAGATCTGGATGGGTTAGCTTTAGAGCTTGTCATGGTAGTCAAACCATTACAGTGGTTATTAGCAGTGTGGAAAGGTTTCTCCTATGTTTCCTTTTTAATTTTTTTCCAGTTATTCTTTGATATGATATAGTAGTCAGAGAATACTCCACGGGGTCAATGCTGGAACATTACTATTCTGGATTCATGTGATCTCTATCCCCAAACACTCACTGACATTCTGAAGTGGTCAATGATGATTTTTATTGGGCAGTGGGCTACAGAACAAGAGACAGAGACACTAAAACTTAAAAATAAAAAAAAGTGTACTATGACAAATGTATATAACAGAAAAAATTCTCTTAAAAAAATGAAAGACACTATAATATTTATTACATAATCAATTATAATACAGAAGCTTCTCTTTATCAGAATTCAGTAGTCATTCACAGAAAAATTCAAACTTATCTGAAAGAGAACTTCAAATACCAAACATGGAAAATTGCTGAAAGAAGTAATGATTCAAATTGTAGCAAATACTTTTTTTTCCCTGAGGAAAATATTTATAGCAAACCCAAAAGAAAAAACAGGGAAAAAAAGAAAGGAAGAGATATGGTCTTCTAACAATCCTGGAAAGACCAAATGTTTGTGAAAGACTATCTTTCAAAACTTGGACTTCTAAAATGAGTTAAGACCTAAATTTAGAGAGAAAGGGGCTCATATGTCATAACGGAAATCCAAATTTACAGAGAAAACAGGAATATAAGTGCCCATCTAGGTCAAATCTATGATGTATAGTTTTTCATAAAGTTTATACAAGTTGAGTAACCCTTATCCAAAATGCCTGGGACCAAAAGTGTTTTAGATTTGGGATTATTTTTAGATTTTGGAATATTTACATATACATAATGAGATATATTGGGGATGGGACCCAAGTCTAAATATGAAATTTATTTATATTTCATGTATATCTTATACACATAGCCCGAGGATAATTTTATACAGCATTTTTAATTATTTTGTCCATGAAACCAAGTTTTGACTGCATGTGGGCTGTGACCCATCACATGTGGTCAGGTTGGAATTTTCCTCTTATGGAGTCATGTCAGTATTCAAAAGGTTTTAGACTCTGGAGCATTTTGAATTTCAGATTTTTGGATTAGGGCTGTTCAACATGTGTGTTCAATGCAAGAATGTTACTGGCATTTATGACTGTTATATATAATTAAACATTTCCCTTATTAACATTGATTTCAATATTTTAGTAAAAAAACTCAACCTGGAAATACTACAAGAGTGATCAACAATTTAAAATTAAGTTTCATAGCATGTTAAATATTTGCCGATTGTCTACTTATGCTACCATTTCTTAACTCCCCAAATAGCAACTTACTCTTCTGATTTTCTTCCGTTTTTTAGAACGCGGTCTTGTTTCTATTCTCTGGACACTGCAACGCACGAGTAACAACAAGTCTTGCAGGCTAAATAACTTATAAACAAAATTTCCTTCCTGGGGAGCTAGATATTCCGATGTATCTTCAACATAGTCCTGAAGTTCATATGGCAATCCTTTAAAAATAATATTTCTCATTTTTATTTTAAAATACATTAGCTCTTTACCCATTATAAAATAATTCAGTTAACTATTTTTAAATGTCTATCGACTTTAATTTTCTACTTTCTCTGCCTAATTAACCCTCACACTATTACCATTTCTGTTTAGTTTTACTGGAATTGCAGTGAGAGCTGAAATCCAAGCTTTACGTTTCTTTTCCTTTTAACTATTACCCTTCGCTAACTCTAGGCAAAGTCCAAATTAGTGAGACAGCATATCATGAGAAGAAAAAACACAGTTTAAAAAGTAATGTTATTCCTAATCTAGGCAGAGCTAAGATTTATATTTCACAAAATTAAAACAAATTAAAATGTACAAAACTGCAGTCAAACACCAAGTATAAATTTTGGATTGATCAATGTGTATGGTTATTTTTGATGTACTTACTCTTCATCAATTTGGTGAGCCACGTTACCTATAGTTTAGTAGCCACTGTACATGTTGGATAAACATAAGTAACCAAACCCAAATACCTCTGGGCATATGTCTATTACAAAGAAGATATTTTATAAGCTAAAATACTGATTGATAGATGGATAAATGAAATGTCAGTTACTATGTAAAGATTACAAAACAGATATGACATAGAGAAAGTGAAGGAATGAGGGAGAAATATCTAAGGAAATGGAACAGATACAACAGTATAAGTTCCTTTTACATATTTACTTACGTCCTTTAGGCTTCTGAAATGCAGAAGGCCATCCAGATCTTGGCCAATTGGAGGCATCTGAAGGAGCAGAGAGTTGCTCAGAAACAGAAGGCTGATTAGAATTTTCTAAATTCATTAAGGGTACTTCAGGTACTTTTCTGGAAATTGGCTTTAAGAGCTCATCTTGCATTTTTAAAATCTCTCCAACTGGATCAAATTTTTTATATACTCGTTTGATAGGTTTTTTTAAAACACATGACTCTTCTGGACTACAAGCAGCATTGGTCTGGTTTCCTACAGATGCCTGTCCTGAGGAAGAATTTGGGCTAGCTGGTTTAGAGCTTAAATTAGAACCCACAACGGTTGTCTTTCCATTATTATTACTATTTTTACACTCTGTATCAATGATTAAACAGTCCTCATCTGTATCACTATTGCAAAGAATTACATCCTTAGTTTTAGCTGCTTCTGATGTAACAGTTTTTTCTTTGGAGTTGTCTATGGTTTCTAGAACATTTAGTCTTTCATCATTGGCATGTACCATATCTGTAGTCATATCATTTTTCTTAGAAATTTCAATTTCCTTAGAACTTCTTAACTGTGAGGCCTCAGATGTTTTCAAGTCACTATCTTGTATCAGCGACTTGTCAGAATTTGATACCTTTTCTCCACATGGTTCACCTTCCTGATCATCTTTATTTTTGCACTCTTCAGGGCCACCCTCCATACCAGTGACCAGTTGTTTCTCCTTCTGCAACTGTTCCATCAGTATCTGTGATAAACTTCTAGAATTAGCAGAAATGTCTGGTGCACTTGGTGCTACAGGTATAGCTGCTGCTTTCGGGGCTGTGGGAGTATCTGTCACATTGGGTACTATGGAAGTATTTGCTGGACTTGGTGACTTTGATGGGTTGGTGGTGGTTACTCCAAAAGTTTCAAGTTCTGTGACATCATCATCGAAATCCAGATCCGAATTTTCAAGAGTCTCAATTTTTCGGCACTCATTAACTTCATAGGATGTCTTAAAAAATATATTGATAAATAATTAATAAAAATTTCAGGCTGTCCTCCCCTATCTCTTAACATCCCTATCCCTCTCATATATAGCTCATGCTCTTTAAAAGTATAAATAAGAGTGTAATGGCTCTAAAATGTTCTTGCTTAAAAAGACAACAAATTACTAGCAACTCCTTAACCTTACCTTCCCATTGAAATGTTCTTAAAAACAGACACATTTGCCAAGTTGTAATAGCACAGGAAATGGAATACTTGTGAACTACCATATCCCAAGAGGAATTTCTACTAGTCGAAACCAGACAAGACTACAAAGAAGAAATGTAGGGCCAAAACAGGAAGGCAGTAGGTTTTCATTTATGCCTATTCTGTATACTCTTGCAGAGACACCACAGCTTAGCTGAGCAAGAGGAAAGCCCCTCTCTGCCACTGTGAGGAAGCTGCTTTCCAATGCAGCCAGAGAAATGTCACCAACCTCGGTGCACCCCTAACATCGGTTAGTGACTTTCTTAACACATCTACTGAGGGAAAAAAACTCTCAGTAATAAGAGATGGGGCAGAAATGGACAGGAAGTTTATTTCATTCTGGGACATGAAGTCATTAAGGTTGTAGTTTTTCATTTACTGTTTTGATAATGGAAGAACTACACACAGTTTTAATTTACTCAGGAATAAATTGTCCCCTTTACAAATAGACAAGCACCAGAAGATCTCTCCTCAATCGAGCAGAGCACTTTAGATAAATAACATGGGAATTTGGTGATGGGTTATCTACACCCATACAGCTAGATCTGAGAGAAAGATTCCAACAGCAGTCAGGCAATAGGTAAGAAAGATCAACCCAAGTAAGTTATTTAACCTCTCTGAACCTCAATTTCCTCTCTAAAATAGGTATAATAGGGTCAGCTTCTTGGATTTGTTCTAAAGATTAAATGAGAAATTATATATAGAAAGTCTCCTGGCATAGTGCCTGGTACACAGTAAGTAACTTCTTTGTAAACGGTCACTCCTACTGAAAAATAAAGACTATAAAATTTAGTAAAAATGTAAAATTATACTATATACTACTTAAATGAGGTATTCCTACACAAAAAGATTTAAAACAAAATAAGAGATGCCATCAAGAAACAAAAAGAGGAGAAATAACAATATTAGTATTAGACAAAGCAGAATTCAATACAAGAATTTCTATTAGATAGAAAAGGAGGAATACTATGTTAAAAAAGGATAAAATCCACAATGAATAGATAATGGTTGTGAATTGTGACATGCCAAATAACAATATCAAAATATATAGTCAAACTGAAAAGTAAATGGAAAATTTGAGAGAAACACAATTGTACTTGTGTTAATGATACATTCTAAGTAAAAATAAATAGGGATATATAAAGTATGAATAACATGAATTAAATGACGGAAACTATATGAAAGATTGAATACACATAGGTAAATAAACTACAAACATATACCTTTCCCTCCCAAAAATCCAAAGGTCACTTCCAAAAATGGACTATAAATTAATACACAAAGAAAATCTCAATATAGTACAAAGCAGAATCTGCTAAGGTCTTACACTCTCTTCAGAAGGAAATAAAATTAGAAATCATTACAAAAAATGTAAACAAACAACAATAAATCCAAGCATGTGGAAATTTAAAAACATTCCAAACTGTTAGATAAAAGAAGAAATCAAAATGATAGTCACAGAATACTCAGCAATAATTAGAATACTAGACGTTAAAAATCAGAAATATCAGAATTTGAGGCTCAAAATGACATTATATTCCTCTAAGAATTATTTTCACTACTTTTGTTAGGTGTCTGGAGACACTAGCAATCCAAAAGCATTTTACTTGCAGTTCAGGGCCTGAAAACTCAGGCTGTAATTATAGTCACTGAGAAAGCTGATTTATTTCTGGTTCACCCTTATTCCTGGGGTCCAAGCCCTTTGTAGAAAACTGAACTCCGACTTTTGTTCCCTTAGTCCTGTGATTTTGCCAAAAGCACAGTTGATTTTCTCAGCTGCCTCTTTAGAACTGGCAAAAAGACCCTAAACTTATCTCCAGGCTTATCTTCTGAATTCCTATCTTCTTTAGAATCTCAGCCCTATAATTCCTCGCTATCTTGTTAGCTCTTTAATGCTTCTAAGAAAGACATTTTTACATCTCATCCAGCTGTTGTAGTTGTCATCATAATATGAACGTTCATAATATGAATGTCTAAATTATCTGGTCTACTATTACTGAAAGAAGTTACTGTCACTTTTTATTCCTCTTAACCTGCCTCATGTTTTTTAAAAAATTAATTAATTAATTAATTAATGGAATGAGGACTTGCTTTGTTGCCCAGGCTGGAGTGCAGTGGTATAATCATGGCTCACTGCAGCCTTGAACTTCTGGGCTCAAGTGATCCTCCTGCCTCAGCCTCCCCAGTAGCTGGGACTACAGGTGCACACCACCGTGCCCAGCCCTTTGTGTTCTTTATAACACTTGTTACCTCCTGACATTCACCTCACACCAATATGAATTTTTGGTAGATTTGAAAAAGTAAAATGTATAAGAAGAAAATGTATGAAAAGTTGGAACTGCTATATGACATACACATCATAAAAATATTAAAAGGAAAATGGCAAATACAGAAAACATAAACAAATACAAAAGACAAAAGGCCAATATCCTTAAAACTGTATGAGCTCATTTTTATATTTTATTTTTAAATTTTGCTTGCTTCCTCTCTTTACTGAAGTCTCTGTTCATATGTCCTGTCCTCAGAAAGGTATTTCTTGATCGTGAATATAAAATAGCCCCATCCCCATCCCTCTCCCTACTTCCTTTTAACCTACTCCATTTTTCTCTATAGCATTATCACTACTTACTCTTTTGCTGTTGTTTTATTAAATATCTGCACCCTCTGCCACTAATGTAAGCTGAGAAAAGAGATTGTTTTTATTCACTGCTGTATCCTCAGTACACAGAACAACACCTACATAATAAAAATTTGTGGAATGAATAAATTAAGTTTTTGATAAAAAATGTCTTTAGTAATCATTGAAAAAATATTTTAAAACACACAGAATAATAATGAAAGCTATTATTTATAGAGTGTCAAGCATAACTCTAAATGCTTTACATGTGTTACCTCATATAAACCCAAACAACCCTATGAGTTAGGTAATCATGATACCCATTTTACAGATGAGAAAACTAGACACAGAGAGATTATGTAATTTGCCCAAGGTCATACAGTTACCAAATATACTGGAAAGGATCTGGCCAAACACTTTCTGTACTAATCAAATTAAACTCATCTGTTCCTGTTTACACTGAATAACTTTTGAATATGAATGAGACCAATGAAACAAAACTTCCTATTAACCCACTAGCATGACTACCACCTCATTGACTGAGTTTTTAGTACATACATACTAAAAACTGTGCTCAGTATTTTACATATAATACCAAACTTAACCCTCATGACAACCTTGTGAAGTAGGTATTAATACCTTTCTTGTAAGAAAAGAGAAAACTGGGGTGGAGTAAAAGGAAAAAAAAAAAAAGAGAGAGAAAACTGAGGCTTAGGGAGATTAAGTTATCATTGCCTAAAGTCTAGCTAGACTTGAAATTCAATCTTAAATTTGAATTAAGGCCTGCATTTTTAATTATTAGGCTTACAGACTTGCAATAAAACTTTAGGCTTCAAAAGGATAAAAAAGTACATTCTCCTAAGGGAATAAAAACATATTACGTACGTCCATTTCAGATATACACTCTTCAGGTTTGTCCATAAATACTGCAGAGACTGGAACAGAAGTGTTTTTGGACATCATGAGTTTTAACGGAACTTCATGAAACATTTGATTTCTCTCTCTCATTGTCATTTTCTTTTGGGGAAGTGGTGAATTAATATATATTGCTTTAACTGGTTTTGAACCTTAAAACAGAAACAGAAGAAAAGGGGTGATTAGTATCTAATAGTCATATTTGTTTTAAAAAACAGGATATATAACGTAAGGATCACTAAAGAGACATAGGACAGGACAGTAGTAGCACATGTCCCATATATTTGCCACCCTTGGACTAGAAGACTTTAAAGTCCCTTAGAAATCTAAGGGCAAGAGAATCCAACTGGCAGGAGAAATATGTTCTCTTCCTAACAATGTTTAAAAAGGATTTTCTGTTTTTTACTATTATAGTCTTACTGTCATTATTACTCAGTTCTTACATGAACTTGCACAAAGTGATGAAATTTTTACCATCAAGAATATATTATTAATACATTTAACTCTAATTTGTAGTTTTGTTTCATTAGACCTACTCTTTTACTTATTGCATTTATGTTGTAATATATAATAATATTAATTCTGGAAGATATGAAAAAATATATAGACCTTAACAGTAGGGGGAATTTTTTCATATAGAGGAATTAATGTGCAAATATTAATTTTATCGTCAAAAGAGAGACTATCCCACTGCTTATAAGTACAGATTTACTGTAATTCTGAATTCCAATAAAAGACAAGCAAATAAGTACTGGAAACTCACCATTTGAGGTTGTCTAATAAAGTACTGCATTCCTTTCATTTCAGTAAAAAACAGAACCTCACCATTTCATGTACTTTTGGCCACCCTAGTGCAGTTACTTATCTCTTACCCCCCAACATGACTTCAGGTACTATAGACCTAATAATTCATTTAGAAGTATCAATTTTACAGTAGCTTTATATATGAAAAAGTTCTACTGAATGTAAATGTCAAATTTACATCCTTCTTTAATCAAGACTTACATTTTTGTTTGACAAATGACTACCTACGTTTAGACAGATGAAATGGAACTATTACAATCCCTTTTTGAGAGCATAACTTGACATAGCAAATCACAAACCTGCGACAGGTATTATTTGAATACACACTGGAATTTCCCACTGTTCCTTGTAGTTTGGTCCATGATTATTTAATAAGGTAAATAATGATTGACTAGTAAGAGCTATCTGAGGGTGGTATCTTGAAACAAGCTTCTCTGCATTTGGATCTTTACTAATATCCTGAAAAACAACATATAACTTGTTACTTGGTTATACTTACTGAAAATTTCTTTGGTAAAGTAATGAAAAGAATGAAGAATGTCAGAAAGGGCACTTTAGAACAATCAGGTTACATGTACTTTGTGAGGTATAAAAAGATTATTTAGGAAGATCCAAAACTACCTTGGTACTTACATAATGCATAGCTTTAGCTGTTTGTTCTGGTGTTTCAATGGTAGATGTGTTATCTTTTGAGAGCTGTAACTTTGCAGGCATTGAGGGAAATACTGTTTTCACATATTTTACACTGCCCTAAAATTAGAAAAAAATGAACCACTTTATTATAAAAATTCTCAAGTATTTTTTTCTGAGAAAAGTATACTTCATAATATAAAACTCTTAACTGAAACTTATTCCCTAAATGCAAATGTCAAATTTAGAGCCTCTTTAAGCCAAAATATTCACGTTTTAGCTTGACAACCACCACCAATGTTTTTTTTAAAAAAGATCCAAGAAAAGGGTTTCATAGAATTTTCTCTGCTACTTTAAATTCTTTTTTTTAAAGCACCATGTTCTGCTAGATGCCACTTTAAGTTCTATCCTCTCTTTTCATGAAGTACAAATCATAATCACATATAGTAGAAACTAAAATATACTCTGTACACACTTATTTTCAATGTTTGTGAATAAAATCCCTTAAAAGAAAAAGGGCTTCCTGCATATATGCAGGAGCATTAAGAAGAATGGAAAGTAAGAAAAGGAAATCAAGAAACAAAGTAGTGGCACTTTTTAAAACATCAAGTATTTGGATTCATAAAATAAAAAGGGACACAGATTTGTATTATATATTTTAAAAGTTATCTCATTATTGCTCAAAATTAAAACATAAAATAATATATGCATGAAAAACAGATATGTTTTAGACAAAAAAAGCTTATACTTTTCACATGATAAACCTTACCAATGCAAGAAGAGTTTTTTCTAACTTTAATCCCATCTCTATTCTGAATGGGAAGAATCCCATTAAGCTGGTGACTTCATGAAGAGAATAAAATTCTGGATACCTTTTCACTTGTTCAATGCAAGCTTTTAAAATTTGCTAAAAAATAAAAATTAAGAAAAATTCATTTGTATTGTACTTCCTTTAATAATGGAAAAAATTTTTAGTTACATGTGACTATATAATTATTCATTGCAAAAATTAGCCTTATTTCATCAATCAAGCTTCTAACAATAGTGTATTCCTTACTTAATCTATTTTATAACAATTTTTAACCTAATTTCTTTAAATACTGATATTGAATATTAAAATTAGCACTCTCAAAATCTGAAATTAGAGAAGACACATATCATATTTTCTATGCTACTTAAGAAATTGTCAAAGTCCTATGAAATTTCAACACACTTTACTGCAATAAAAGCTGTTATATGAATGATTAGAAATAAATAATTTTAATACTCTAAAAGGATTCCCAAGCACAATGAATTAAGGAAGTAGTTATCTTACAGGTCTTTCTAATCTACAACCTAAAAAGTAAATGAGAGATGTTGAAACTAATTCGAATGATGGTGTACTTAGTATTCTATTCTCTACAAACTCTTCAGAATATTAATAATTTATCAGGAAATATAATCAGTAAGGAAATAAAACTCACAGCTTTACCCAAGAAGAGTATGTGCCACTTGAGATAATATGTAAATAACTCAGAGACACACAGCTGTTTTGGTGGTGGGGAGATGAGATGTTTACAATTAAAATACGCACATATATTATCTTCTAAGATACATTACTTTTTCGTCTGTTAACAAACCTTATCTGAATCATTTAGAATATATTTTAGATCACAAAAGCTCTTAGTAATGTCTTTATTATTTGTCTATATCTCCTCTACCTTTAGACATTTGCAAAATGTGTAACATTACAAAACAATAGCCTTACTCCAGTATATCTTTTCATCTGTAGTTTCATAACCCCTTCTCCCATTTTTGTGGTAGATACACCAAAGAACCCTCCTATTCAAATAAAACTAGATCCTGGATAAAGTATAACATAACAATTTTCATGCATCGCTGGGCTTGGTGAAAAGCTAAGAAAATCTCTAAGAATCATAAATCAATAAATATTTCTCAAACACACAGAGAAACAAGAGCAGTGAGCAGTAAGAAAACCCATGAAAAGTGAGGTGGTTCGAGGGCAAAAGCTTCAATGAGTTCTAAGATCTGGGGGGAGCTGAACATGAGACTTATACATTTAAGCCTTGAAAAGTAGGGATTTGAACAGATATACACACACTCAAGTGCTTAGCTACATTATTTACAACAGCTAAAAGGTGGAAGCTACCCAAGTGTCCATTAATAGATGAACAGAGGCTGGGCACGATGGCTTATGCCCATAATCCTAGCACTCTGGGAAGATGAGGAGGGAGGATCACTTGTGCTCAGGAGTTCAAGGAGCTCTTGCCTGAGCAAGAGCGAGACCCCATCTCTATTAAAAATAGAAAAATTAGCCGGGCATCATGGTATGTGCCTTAGTCCCACCTACTTGGGAGGCTAAGGCAGGAGGATCCTTTGAACTTAGAATTTGAGGGTTCAGTGAGCTATGATGATGCCACTTCACTCTACCCAGTGCTACAGAGTAAGTCTCTGTCTCAAAAAAAAAAAAAAAAAGATGAACAGATACACAAAATGTGCTATATCCATACAAAGGAATATTATTCAGCCTTAAAAAGGAAGGAAATTCTAACACATGCTACAACATGAACTCTGAGGACATTATACAAAGTAAAATGAGTCAGTCACAAAAAGACAAATACTATATGTTTTCACTTACATAGGGTACCTAGAATAGTCAAATTCTTAGAGATAGAAAGTAGAATGGTGATTGCCAAGAATTAGGGGGAGGAAGGAACAGGAAGTTATTGTTCAATAGGTATTGAGTTTCAGGTTTTTTGTTTTTTCTTTTTAATTTTATTTTTTATACACCACTAAATGAATGAGGATTGAATTTTGTTTTGGGAAGATGAAAAGTTCTGCAGGTGGATTGTGATGATATCACAACCATATAAATGTATTTAATGCCACTGAACTATACACTTAAAAAAGGTTAAAATAGTAAATTTTATGTTATATATGTTTTATCATAATTTGTTTGAAAAAGAGAGAAATGAAAGATAGCCTGATGTCTACCCCAGGGAAATCTGGGAATTCCAGAAAGAGCTGAGAGAACAAAGGAGAAAGAATAAGTGAAAATGGTTGAGAATTTTCCAGAACTGATGAATAATATGAATTCACGGACACAAGAAACACAATGAACCAGTAGGATTAAAAAAAAAAAAAGCGTATTACGCATGTTATAATGAAACTGTAAAACACCAAAAATAAAAATAAAGTTCAGAGTGAAAAGACAGATTTCCTAAAAGAAATGACAACTAAACAGATAACACACTTTTCAGTAACAACTAGACAGAAAATGTAAAATAACTTCAAATGTTGAGAAACAATAACTTTCAACTTAGAATTGTGTATCAATAAAATTATCTTACTAGAATGAAAACAAAACAAAAATATTTCCAGATAAACAAATAAGGAGATTGATTGTTCACCACCAAGAGACTGTCATCAAAGGAATATCTAGAACATATAGCATTTCAGGAAGAATGAAAGGATCTCAGAACATAGGTTTAGGAGGAAAAAATTATGGGCCAACAATTTCATAAACCCTTTTTGTAGGTAAATTAGAACAAACATAGTCCATATAAAATAATAATACAAGTACGTTTAAAAAAGAGCATTACAACAGCAGCAGCATGTAAGTTGGGAGGGATGTGATGAGAGTCAAAATGCTCTATGGTTTTTGTATTGTTTGGGAGAAGGGTTAAGATATTAGATAAAGGCCGGGCGCTGTGGCTCACGCCTGTAATCCTAGCTCTTGGGAGGCCGAGGCGGGCGGATTGCTCAAGGTCAGGAGTTCAAAACCAGCCTGAGCAAGAGCGAGACCCCGTCTCTACTATAAATAGAAAGAAATTAATTGGCCAACTGATATATATATAAAAAAAATTAGCCGGGCATGGTGGCGCATGCCTGTAGTCCCAGCTACTCGGGAGGCTGAGGCAGGAGGATCGCTTGAGCCCAGGAGTTTGAGGTTGCTGTGAGCTAGGCCGACGCCACGGCACTCACTCTAGCCTGGACAACAAAGTGAGACTCTGTCAAAAAAAAAAAAAAAAAAAAAAGATATTAGATAAAATAAGTATACACTGGAAAAAGTCAAAAGTAACTAGTAAGAGAACAGAAATAGAACGTATAAATTCCAAATCAATAGAGAGGAGAAATGAAAGGGGAAAAATAGGTAAACTGCCTCAAAAGAAGTAAAAAAGACAGCAGCACAGAAAAAAGAGAAACAGAACACAAGCAACTCCATATACACCAATTACAATGAATGTGACTAAACTTTCCAATTAAAAGACAGACTATCAGATTTTATTTTAAAAGAAAAGCAATCTAGCTAAACACTGTTTTAAAAGATACCTGTAAAACACATCTATAGATTTAAAGCAATCCCAATTACAATCCCACCTAGCTTTTTGTAGAAACTGACAAGTGGATCCCAAAATTTACAAGAGAATGCAAAGAACTGATAAAAGCTAAAACAATTTTGAAAAAGAACAAAGTTGCAGGACTTCCATCACATGATTACAAGACCATAAAACTACAGTAATCAAGATCCTATGGTTCTGGCATAAAGACAGACATGTTTCATTTTGTTAATAGAAGAAAATAAAGTCAAGAAATTGATCCATGTGACAGCGACAAGGTAATTAAGAGAAAAAACAACCTTTTCATCAAACTGTGCTAACCAGTTCCTCAACATTAGCATTACTGACATTTTGGACCAGATAATTATTTGTGGTGTGGGGCTGTCCTGTACATTGTACAATATTTAGTAACTTCTCTGGCTCTACACACCAGATGTCGTAAGTAACCCCTACTCAGTTGTGGCAATCCAAAATGTCTTCAGACATTGCCAAGTGTGCCTTAAAGATGCAAAATCACTCTAAGTTGAAAACCACTATGCTAGAACAACTAGATTTAGGGAAGAAATGAACTTTCATCCTTACCCCACATCTTATACAAAAGTAACGTAAAATGAACATAGACCTATACCTATAAGTTAAAACTGTAAGACCTTTAGATTAGTTTCTTAACATAAGCACCACTGACACATTAGGCTAGATAATTCTGTGTTGTAAGGGATGCCACATGCATTTAGGATGTTTAGCAGCATCCTTGGCCTCAACCTAGTAAATACTATTAGGTAGGTGCAACAGTAATTGCGGTTTTGGATTGTGAATTTTAAGTCATTATAATTAGGCTGAAACACACCTTTATTAGTCAGAATAGGAACCATTACAATCAACACATTTTTGCCAAAGAAAAATAAGTTTGTTTATTCCTGTAGCATAAAAATCTGTGCTTCAGAATTCAATGAATTCTTGGAAAGCACTTTCTGCATCCTGCTGGTTGTGGAAGTGTTTTCCCTGCAAAACATTGTTGTAGTTAGTGGTAGTCAGCTGGTGAGAGGTCAGGTGAATATGGCAGATGAAGCAAAACTTCGTAGCCCAATTTGTTCAACTTTTGAAGCGTTGGTTGTGCGACGTGTAGTCGGGCTTTGTCATGATTGAGAATTTGGCCCTTCCTGTTGACCAATGCCGGCTGCAGGTGTTGCAGTTTTTGGTGCATCTCATCGATGTGCTGAGCATAATTCTCAGATGTAATGGTTACACCAGGATTCAGAAAGCTGTAGTGGATCAGACCAGCAGCAGGCCACCAAACAGTGGCCACGACCTTTTTTTTGGTGCAAGTCTGGCTTTGAGAAGCGCTTAGGAGCTTCTTCTCAGTCCAGCCACTGACCTGGTCATCGCCAGTTGTCACATCAAATCCACTGTTCATTGCACATCACAATCGGATTGAGAAATGGTTCACTGCTGCTGCGTACAAGAAGAGAACATTTCAAAATGACAATATTTTTTATTTTCAGTCAGCTCATAAAGCACCCGCTTATTAAGCCTTTTCATCTTTCTAATTTGGTTCAAATGCCGAATG